TTCAGGAAGAGCCAATGGTAACAAAGGAAGAAGTTCAAGTTGCACTGAAGTCATTGTCAAAAATAAAGCCCAAGGAATTGACGTGATGCCAATTGACGTATTTCGACTAATAGAGGAAGCCCTGTGCATGTTTACTTGTTTATACCAGGAAATTTAGAGGACAGCTTATTGGCTGACTGACTGGAAAAGATCCATACCTGTCCCCATTCCCAAGGAAGGTGATCCAACAGAATGCGGACATTATCTAACAGTATCATAAATATCACATGCAAAATGTTGTTGGAGATAATAAATAAAATGGTTAGAATAGCAGACTGATAGAAAACTACCAGAAATTCAAGCTGGATTTAGCAGAAACTGTGGCACCAAGGATATCATTACTGATGGTTGAAAACAGAGTAAACCAGAAGAATGTCTGTGTTTTACTGATGTTGCAAAGACATTTATTTGACTGTGTAGACATAGCAAACTATGGCTAACATTGAGAAAAGTGGGAATCTCAGAACATTTACTTATTTAGAAAAATACCAAGGATGTCAGTCTAGAGACTAAGGTGCACCTGATCCAGGCCATGGTCTTAGCAATTGCTTGCTATGTGTCAGTGAGGTGGACAATAACCAAGAATGAAAGAGAATCTCTGCCTTCAAGTTACAGTGCTGGTTAAGAGTATTGAACATACCATGGACTAACTTAACCGCTCTGTCCTGGAGAAGATACAACCAAGCAGCTCCTTGGAGGCAAGGATTTTGAAACTCTGTCTCATATACTTTGGGCATGTTCCCAGGAGGGACCAGTCTTTGGAGAAGGACATTGTGCTTGGAAGGGTCGAGGGATAATGCTGGAGAGGAAAATCCCATATGAGATGGATTGACACAATAACTTGGCTAAAATAAGGGTACATGTGTTGGAGACAGATCAGCTTAGGATAGAGCAGGATTCAGAGCTATTGTGGATAAAATTGCTATGAGTAGTCAACTTGACAGCATATAACAACAGTAAGAACAGTAACAACAACAATATACCTAGACCAAGATGTTATTGTCTGAACAGAGCAGAAGAAGGCTGTGTATGGTTTTAGTGTGGCAGATACCGAGATTCTGAACATTTAGCCAAATTTCGAAACCAACGAAGCTTTATAGTGCATGGCCAGAATGTCAGGTAGTGCTTAAACTGCTCAGACCCTGAGGGGAAGCAAGGCTCGAGTTTATATAGAGAGATTTAGGAGCTGGGATTACACCGAGTTCCTTCCTTACTGTTGATAGTTTGCAGAAGTTGTAGTTCCTTGTTCTTTGTCGTTTTGGGAGTTGCTTCTGGGCATTGGGCCAGGTGCAGGATGTGATCAAGGAGTGGTGGTCAAGCTGGGTCAGTGTGAACTAGACCATAAAACTGAGCAAAGCATGTTATTTCTAAAATTATTGAGGCATACATTTCTTAAAATGATTGTCCAAACAAAATGGTTTCCCTACTGCTAACATATAATATGGCTTCTCTAGTGCAAATATACTACTACTAAAGTTTAAAATCAGGAAACATGTCCATCAGTGTTGTGTCCTTTCACCATACCTATTCATTGTGTATGCTGGGCAGATAATTTGAGAATCTAGATCTTATTAAGAAGAATATAGCCTCATCAACCTGCATTGTACAGATGACACAACCTTGCTTGCTGCTAGTAAGGAGGACCTGAAATCCTTGCTGCTAAGAGCAAAGATTACAACCTTCAATGTGGGTTGCATTTCAACATCAAATAGACCAGAAAATTCTCACTACTGGGCCAATAAGCAACATCATGATAGAGGGAATCAAGATTGGAATTGTCAATGATTTTATATTACTTGGATCTTCAACCAACAATCTGAAGACTGTTCACACCCAACCCCCTTGGGACCAAAGTTAAGAGATCAGGAAACATATTGCATTGGGCAAATCTATCAGGTACCTCTCCAAACTACTGAGGATCAATGTTGTCAATTTAAAGACTAAACTGCATGTGCTTAATTCGGGCCGTGGTCTTTTTCATCACTTTCTATGCACGTAAGGACTGGACAATGAAAAAGAATGACAGAAGAATAATTGATGCCCTTAAGCTGTGGTGTTAGAGAATAAGTACTGAATAACCCATGGAGTGCCAAAGGAACAAAGAGTTATGTCTTGGAGAAGGCCAAAAATGCTTTCTCTGGTAAGCTGGAATGCTTCTTAGAGGCAAAGATGACAAAACTTTGTCTCATGTTTTTTGAGCATGTTGCTAGGTGAAGCTATTCCTTGAAAAGGGACATCATGCTTGGAAAGGTAGAGAGTCCACAAAAGAGGAAATACTTCAATGAGATTGATTGACAAGGACAGCAGAAATAGATTCAAGCGTGTCAGAAAAGAGGATGACACTAGATAGAACAGGGTTCAAATCTGTTCTTCATAGGGTTTCTATGATCTGTGCTCGACTCGATAGCACTTAACAGTCACCACCACCACCACTACCGTAGTGCAAAAAGTATTAGGCTTTTAATAAAATGCTTGAATCCACTAGTCGTTCTATACGAGAAAGATAGGTAACCTTTTCTCATAAAGATTTACAGTCATGGAAACCTGATGAAGAGTTGCTGTGACTTGAAACTCACTTGATAGCATTGGGTTTGATAGGAAACTAAGTAATGAGAGAAACATGTACCTCTTAGAGCCTGCCCGCTATTGAAACGGATAATGAACAGAGAACAAAATTCTAGTTTTGTAGTTAAATCAGACTATTTTTCTCCTATCAACCTATCTATCTTTACAGGTTATTGTTGTTAGATTCTAAAGAGTCTCTTACAACTCTTAGTGATCTTATCAACAGTAGATCTGAACCTTGCCTTATGAGGCACCATCCTCATTGTCTCTGAAATGCTCAAACCCATTGCTATAGTCAGTGTATCAGTCCATCTTGTTGAGTGTCTTCCTCTCTTTTTCTAACTTTCCCAGCACGATTCATTTTTCCAAGGACTGGTCCCTCCTGATAACATGTCCAGTGCATATGAGACTGAGTTTCCCCTTTTTTGCCTCTTAGGAGAACCTTTGTTGCAGCTCTTCCAAGACAGACTTATTTGTTCTTTTGGCGGTCTGTGATATTCAATACCTCTCTGGCCTAATGGTAAAAGGCTAAGCTGCATTCCTGAAGGTACACTGTTCGAATCCACTAGCTGCTTCAGAGGAGAAGGATGGGCAGTCTCCTCCCATGGGATTAGTGCCTCTGAAAACCCACTGGAGAGTCACCTGTGGGTTGGTTCCAACTTGTAGTACACACAATAACAACTCCAACACTACAACTTGATACTTTTTTTATCTTTACCTGTTATCCAACTTCCAGATGCATAGGAAGTGACTGGAAAGATCATGGCTTGTCTTTTGTGTGTATTCATTTATATTTTTGTTTTTGTTGTGTACTGTTAGAACAGACACATAACTACTCTCCAGGGGGTTTTCAGAGGCAGGTTTTTTTTTT